CTATTCGTGTGAGAACCCATCAATTTAGAAAAACCTCTGTAATAACTTATTCTATCGATACCAGAATTACAAGATCTGCGAAAGAAAATTTTTATAGAACTTCTTAAAGAATCAACACAAAAATGGAGACGAAGTGTTACTATAAAGAAGTTGGAAGAAAATGAAAAAGGCCCTTACCGAATTGGTAGGATTACAATAGATTTGTGCTAAATTGTGGAGATCTAAAAATGCTAGAATTTATTAATGTTTCGTGCAATTGTAAGAAAGAACAAACATTAAAAGATTGAATTCTAATAAAGGTATCAATTCATCTTTAAAAGAAGTCGCGTTGATTATAGACGAACAGCCAGCCCATGGAAAGATTCTAAAGAAGAAAACATACGTACCCGGATGTAACTATAATTAGAAATAGTGCTGTTAAAGAAATATTTGAGTGAGCCATCTTTTTAAAAAATAAGAGAAAAACTCTTAAACATGTCTTCTCATGAAATACATCATGCAGATTGATCTCTGAACTAACATGATCCTTATTATTGGTGAATTCTTTTCTTTATCAACAACCTTTTACCCTCCCAATCATATAGGAGACGATAGATCGGGGTTCCCTCATTTTAATGAGGTGGAAGTTGTTTCAATTTCCATATTATCGTGGTAGTTTTAACGTGGTTGAAGAAGTTAGTTATTAAGGTTGTTCAAGTTGTTCTTTCTTTACAGTTTTTTTTTTTTTGACGAAGCCATGTTTCCTTTGAGCATTGTTTTTTCTTGTCATTTTTGTGACCTACAATTCTAAATTTTGATGATAATATTAACTTATTTATGTGAAAGTATTGGTTTATGATAAAATGTTCAATTAAAACATAATTTAATAATATAATATATTGATTACAAAATGTATAACAATATTTCATTTATTATTTTAATTTATAATATTTTTTCGCTATTTTCGTTAAATTTCCAAATTAGGGATAGCCGTCCCATGAAAAATATTGAACTCGAGTAAATACTCGTATACTCGAATTCTGACTCGGATTCTGACACTCGGTATTCTTCGAGTCAAAAATAATTCTTGACTCTACTTGACTCGAGTTAATTTTTTTGACTCGAACCTCTCGAGAAGAAATTGCCTGAATTCATTTATTTATTATTGGTTTGTCGACAATGCCTTCTATCATAAATGAGTGACAGAAGCAAGATAGTATCGCTTTAAGAGGTCTGGCGATACTAGATTTCCTTAGGTTCTTATGACCTATTTATTTAATACCCATTGTAACTATATTTGAGAATAAAACTCAAATTTGTTGGATTTATTGTTTTCTTACCCTTTTACATTATCGTTTAAAGAGTAATTAAACGTCAACAATTATTGGAAAAAAAGTAAAAAATTGTAAGTTGGAGGATTCTCCAGGTTATCAGTAATAAAATACGTTCTATACCACATTTCGCATGCGCAATAGAATCTTTTATTTCAGTAATTGAATTTCTTAATTAAGATATCAAATTTAACATAAAAATAAAAAATTTCATCACAATCAGGACCAATAATAATACGTCAGTAACTATAAAAAAAGTGAACCCGACTCTTTGTCCTCTAATTCAATAATTCTACTTTTTTTTCTTTCATTGGCTAAGCTTGTTAATTCTTAATAAACTTATCTGGTGTGCCCTTCGTATTGAAATAATAAAATTAACTTTCTTGGAGATGAATTAGATTCAGCATCATATACCAATGATTTTTTTTATTTAGACATTCTTCGCCAATAGTCGATATAACTAGCAAAATTCAGATTGTTAAGCATAAAAGAGAGATATCAACCATGTGTGGTTCTAATTAAGATATAATATTTCTGTTGGTAGTGTACTATTGATGTTGAAAAAAGTGAGTGCTGCATCCTTAATTTTTACAACGGAATAATACAAATATTAGAGGTCCTCAACAAAAAAGACGTATGTCATCAGACGTCTGTGTATGAACTTTACATTACAAATTGATGGTTTTTAATACTATACATGTATAAAATATCATAAAAGGTTTGTGTAATACCGGATTAGATAGTAAAAACATATAGATACAGTATATTACTATAAAATTTTTAAAAATGATTTATTGGGCATAAATATTAATATCTTTCAACGAGGATTTTTATTTCTTTATAATATATACCCTCCCTTTCATAGGTGTTAAAACTTAAGTTTGAAAAGGTCTACTGATTCGGACATTTTACAATTTGTTGTTCATATTGTTAAAAAATATACTAGGAATCTATGGCATTCATCGCTTGACTAATTTAAGGAATGAAAGCTTTTAATTTAAAAAATTATTATTATTATACCATTGGCATTAATCTTGGAATAATAAAAAAAAAAAACTTAAAATTTCAATCTTTACAAATTTTATAAAGTCAACAAATCGTGGTACATTTCGGTCATAACTGCATTGTCTTGCAAAATGACCTAAATAACATGAACATTGCGTTAGAAAAAAATATGCCTCTCAGAACTCTCGAAAACATGCAGGAAATTATGCGGAGAGGCCAAGGAAAGGAACTTTTTAATGTGAGCGGTAGATCTATCACCTTTACATTCTTGCTAGCTTTTTTGTTTAAATAAAAATTTTTCTCAAGAAAAAATTTGAAAATATTTATTCTAAAATTAATCATTTCCTAATTTAATTGGTAACAATTCTGTTTTTAAAAATTGTAATCCATGCAAAATTATATAAATATGTGAGTAATCTCAAAAAGGTTTATTTTATAAAAAAAAAGAAATTTAAAAGTTCATTTCTTTATAATAAATTTGTAAGTTATCACAACATGGAGAAGTATCGTAAAAACTATATTATTAACTAGGGTACCTGAGGAACACACCATTTCCCATTTAAAACATTGCTTTACAATGATAACGGGAAAAGAAATTTAAGTGAAAAAATTAAATTTTTACGGACCCAAGCCGAAAGAGAAAGCTAAAAAAATAAAAAAATAAATAATAACTTGGCCTGAATCGTTCTTTTATGAATCCAGCCCGAAAAAAAGATACTAATAAGAAGAATTAGCTTTAAAAAAGGTAATAAAAAAAGACACTAAAAAAATTAATTTATTGAACCGACCCAATGTCCGGAATCCGACTTAAAAAAAAACTAACGTTAATAATCAAAAAAAAAAAAAAAAAGGGAAAAAACCTATCTATAATTGTCCAAAACTTGCAGGATATTGCATATGTAACGTTACTATATTTCTAAATTAATGTTAATTTTCTTGTTAAAATATGGTACGATTAAAAAATTTAACCGGAGTGTCACTTTCACCATTTTATCCATTTTATTTGATAACAAAAAAAAATAATGTATCCTACAAAATATGATGGAAACATCCATCCAGATGAATGGATAAATGATTTTATAAGTTATATGAAATTTGAAAATAAAAATAATACGTTAAATTTTACAAGTCATCATTTGCAATATGCAAAATCATTAGTAGATCCTATTATCAAACTTCCAAGTGGAATTGATAGTTTTGAAAAACTTCGTAGTGCACTTAAGGATGACATTTCCTTCACAGTGTTCAAAAATACAAATAAAAGAAAATTGCAATCATTAAAATTTTTTCATGAAAGGGAAGGAGGCGAAACTTCAAAATTTATTTCGAATTTTCGCAAATTATGTTATAATGCCGAAATTAACGATATTGAGGAACAACAAGAATACCTTTATAAGTCTTTTCCAAATGATTATTTCATAACTGAATTTTCTAAAAGAAAAGAAAAAATTAATTCTACAAATGAATTAATTAAAGAATTTGAGGAAATTGCTATGGAGGAATCTAATATAATTAGAAATGGATCTATTGTAGCTTTAAAACACGT